ATTTTTGAAATTCTTACAGTAGATTGAGTTCTATTTTTATTGCATAGAAAGTTTGATTTGTTGCAAAAACTGGTCTCCACTCTTTAAGAGATACGATAAAATACCAATGTGCTGGTACCCGTTTGTATTTTCATAACTTCACATCAATTCTTGGCTAATAGGTATTACTACTGAAATAGTTTTATCAACCTTATGCATTCATTTGTAATTATTTTATTGTAATATGGTAAATAGTAGTTCATTAATTTTAAAAATGCAAACCTAATTTTTATTTATTTACCTAGTTCAAGTAATGATTTCTTTACCTTGTTTGGCTTTTGATGTCATCCAACTTTGGGCATATCAATATTTAAGCATATTAAACATCCCGAAGAGGGTGTTCTAATAGATGAAGATTCTAGGAAAGATGATGGAGGGGGCTTTGTAAATAATCATTTATTTGCAAGTAAGTAGTTACAGCTAAATTGCATATATTTGATAATCAAGAGTGTACATCACAAGACACTTCAAACGAAAGATAATATTAAAAAAAATAAGGGGCCATATACCAAAATATTTTCCATATCTTTTAAAATTTTGACGCCTCTAGAAATATTTATTGACGATGAACTGATGTTGGTAGAAGAATCCACAGTTCAAGAATTTGTTAAATTCGCAAATTACCAAAGATAAGATGTAGTTATTTTTATATTATCTGGATATAATGTAAGAAAAAATATAAATATTGTTACGCAGGTTTTTGATATCTCAATTTATTTCAACTTAACTTTTATAATAATTCAACTAATAACATTAACGTATAACATCTATCATAAAACTTGACTGACTGACGTCAGGATCACCGACTTATATAGCTCGATTTAACCTTCTAAAACTTCCCCGATAGTCCAGATGTTTCTTGACGTGAAGTGACATTTCTCGAATATTCTCCCTTCTTCTTTCACTCGCACCTTTACGTATGACGACCGAATCACACTGTAGGGTGATGGAACGTTAGAAGATAGTATTGATTTAGTTAGTTTACTAGTGTGTATGAATGTTAGTTATGGATGTTGTCATCCTTAAAATTAAATACGTCAATTTAGTTTGAATATTATTTATTAAATATTTTATTGGAAAACCGAACTTGGATCAAAGGCTTCACAGTTTCTAACAGGTTATGGGCACAGGACTGTTAGTGTACCGAAGTTTTCGACGAGACAGTGATGTTTTCCGAATGAACAAATAGCAAGATAGGTAGTACACTAGGACAAAGAAGAGTGTATTTCGATTACCTATAAAAATTTACGATTTTAAGAAAGAAAAACTAAATTCGGAGAACTATAGATATTGGAGCATGAAAGAACAAGAAATTTCGAAAATGAAAAACTTGTGGACCGCCTTAGATCCTGGATTTACAAATGAAAACATAAATCAAAATGAAAAGTTAAATCAATAATTTATTTGCTTATAAATAATGATAGCTTAGATAATATAATGGAGTGTCAAACAGCGAAAGAAAATCCTCATACAATGTAATACTTGGCCAGGAGTATTTTTACTAAAAGATTTCGCCAACGTTAATAAAAAGCATAAATCAATATTTAAGAAGAAGAAATGGTTATTATCATGTTAAAAATGTTGGATATGAATTTCATGAAAAAGTTTAAGCTGATTTTGCAGTATTGGGTTTGCCGAGTATTTCCTAGAAATTTAAGATCAGACAAAGATGATTTAAAAATGAGCAGGTTAAAATCTAAGCTAATAGAAGAAGTTAGAAGATTAGCAAGTAAACAAGATAAAGAAGATGAAAAAGATGTAGCAAAGACATTGTTTTCAAAAAAGAAATATCCTATAATTAGGCAAGATTTTATAGATAAAAGCAAATACAAATTTAATAAATGGGGAAATGGAAAAAATCATGATGATGCGCAGAAGAGGCAACGTTCTTATGAAGATTTAAGATGTTACATATGTTTAGAGATGGGACACATAGGAAAAAACTGTCCTTTGTCGCAACTACAAAAGGGGACTGCAGATACAACAAATGAACCTGAATCTTGCACCTCTAAACTTGCTTTTAGTAGTGTACGATATTCTCTAATACTTGGATATTAGACAGTGGAGCTACAAATCATATGAAATTTCAGAAAGAAAAAATGTTAAACTATACGAAAATTGAAGTGGCAGGTAGAGTTTTAATATTAATAACTGGTTATGGAGATATGAATTTAAAAATAAGCAAAAAAAAATGTTAGAAGAAAATGTGATGAACATAACTACAAAAGAAAATAAATTAGTAGCAAAGTCGACAAAAATAGCGATTGGCTCATTTAAATATACCAGTTATTAAGTTATTATTAAACAATAAAGCTAAAAATGCATAAAACGCACTAAAAGAAAAGTAGATGATGAAGACGGCATTCAAGAAAATTGTGAAATTTGTTACGAAGCTAAGATGAAAAGGGTACCTTTTCCGAATAAAAGTAATAAAAAAGTAGAGCCATTAAAATAAATACATTCAGACTTTTTGGTCCTTTAACCCATTTAAGACTTAAGATAGAATTATTCGAAGCAAAATTTTTGAAAGATGCATATCAGATCCTTGTGCATATTAGAACAAAGGTAAAAATTTTATTATTACCATTTACGTAGACGATATATTAATAATTGGAAAAATTTTAAAAATTATGTAATTAAAATTTTGTGACATATGGAATTTAAGAGAAGCTAAATACGTACTTTCAACAGAAATAACAAAAGAAAAAATACAATACGATTGCATCAAATGTTACATGCACATGAACTTTAAGAAAAAATGATTGGGTTGAATGCAAAAAAGGTCGCTGCACCTCTAGCGATAGGTGAAAAATATAAAAAATGTAACAATAAAGAAGATAAGTTAAATTAAAACGATAAAATAATATATTATAGAGTAATAGGTAGTCCCTTATACCTACCTATTTCTACAAGACCAGACAGCTTCTGCCACCACATTTACGATTTAATAATAATTCAGATCAGCATCACTGGAAAGATATAAAACATATTTTCAGGTACCTAGTTGGAGCTAAAAATTTTGAACTAGTACACAAAAAGTGGATACATTTTTAAAGCTTTCTCCGATGCTGATTGGGTGAAAATGAGACAAATATATGTTTGTTGTGGCAGAAGGGGCTATAAGAAGTTAATCTAACAAAAGACAAAAATACGTTATTCTAAACACTATGAAATCAGAATTTGTAGCTCTGAATGAAACAGCAAAAGAAAGTTGCCTCGAAAAATATTTTAAGTTCGTTTACATTTATGTAGATAACCAAGGAGCAATTAAACTTGCAGAAAATCAAACTACGTCAGACATATCCAAAACATATAGATATAAGAATATTTTATATCAGAAATCTAATAAGAAATAAAATGTTATAGTTGCGGTATATTGAAACAAAGTTAAATTTAGCCGAGCAGTTGACTAAACCAGTTTCAGTAACTATTCTAATAGATTTGAAGAACTTTGAGATCGAAGATCCAGGGGGATGTCAGAAAGAAAATAATAATTTTGGAAGGAAGGATAGTATTGATTTAGTTAGTTCATTAGTTTGTATGGATGTTAGTTATTGATGTTGTCATCCTTGAAATAAAATACGTCAATTTAGTTTAAATATTTTATTGAATAACTAAACTTAGTCAAAAGGCTCTGCAGTTTTTAAAAGAAACAGTAAAAGAGATATGGCCAACGACCTAATAATGAATGCTTTAAAAAATGTGTAAAATATTTTGTTCCAGAGAAAAATATCAATTATTATGACAAAAAGAAAAACCGTTGCATAAGTAAGAATGTGTAACATTGAACTGTGGATTGTAATGTTAAATTCCATTCTAATATTTGATGTAGCTCTATTATTTGTTTCCAACTGACTATATTATAAAATTTTATTAAATTTAGTTTTATTTACAATAATAACTTTAAATAGTAAAGAGCTCCCAATGAGGACCATCGCTATTTTATGGCAACATCAGATATTTGCTTCTCATTTAAACCAATTTTTTGTTTATAAATTTATTAGTAATTTTGAATCAAATTGATTCGAATTTTAAAAAATTGGTAAAATAAAAGAATTATTAATTCCGTCCTTTTTGGGTTATAATATGCCCAAGGATCTTTTTGATGTACCCATGGATCTTCCTGAACCATGACCTGCATAAGGCAGTATTCAGCAGCTTTGTGGCAACAAACTTTATGGTCTATGCTAACAATTAGTTTTTTTCGCCAATTTGGGCCAACATCTTTGGTGCCATCCTTTTATTTTTCTCCACCTGGATAATTCTCCACTCTTTACCTTCTTACGCATTACTTCAGATGAGACGACTATCTAGTTAGGTGTTTATGCATTGTTGCATCAGCTCATCATTTTCTCTGCATTTCATAATACCCTCAAATATTTACGGTACCCCAGTTTCTTTATCTACGGCATAAAAAATATTACATGGCTGCACAATGCATAAATTGTGATGTATAGTACCAAACGTTTCCAATGCTTGTTTTGGAATCAATTCCCCAACTTTTTGATTAGCATTAATTTGCTTTTGTTTATTTCATCTTATACTTCTTGCTACTTCTTAATTATTTTCTTTTAATAATCCCTTTCGTTCTTGTCAGTTCTGGTCAGAGTATGTATTACCTACTTTCTTCGTCTTCTTTGTTAACTTGGTGTTTGAATTTCGATTAGTTTGTATCTCCTGGGCTTACAAGCAAAAGTCACCAAGTCAAAAATTTGTCAAAATGGGTTATTTTTGTATATCTTGTAAAAACAGTACATTGTATTCCGAAAGCATGTACATTTTATTTGAAGCAGAATTTAAACTCATAAACTTATTTTTTGACTTAATGCCTTTTGCTTGTAAGCCTACGATTTAATAGTGATACTTTTAAAATGAACGATGTTTATATGATTTCTGAGACTACTTTTAAAATATAAAATATCCATATATCACAATATTGTAATGAATATTTATTGTTTCAGGAAATAAATTGTGATGCACCGCTATCGGATTCAGCGTCATTGCCCTTAGAGCATAGAGCGGTCTATGGTCCTCCACTGTCTGGACCTGGTTACCTTTCGACAGGTATTTTGGGTGGAGGAGGTGGAGGAGGAGCAGGAGGAGGAGGAGGAAGTGGAGGAGGGGGTGACGATCCATGGCCACTAGCGACACCGGATATGCCCCAAATCAAACATCTTCAGGTGCAATGCGAAAAGACTCATATGCGAGTCAACATTGAATTCGACCGTCCCTTTTATGGAATGATATTCTCTAAAGGATTCTATAGCGACTCTCACTGTGTTCATTTAAAGCCTGGTACTGGGCATTTAAGTGCAACCTTCGAAATATTCTTAAACAGTTGTGGTATGTCCTCGTCCGCTAACCACAATGCTGCTAGCTACGGTGGACCTACACCAAGTGGAAGTTACGTAGAGAATACCATAATCATTCAGTATGATCCTTACGTACAAGAAGTGTGGGATCAAGCTCGAAAACTAAGATGTACTTGGTATGATTTTTATGAAAAAGCCGTAACATTCAGACCATTCCAAGTTGACATGTTACATGCAGTAACAGCTAACTTTCTCGGAGATAACTTACAGTGCTGGATGCAGATTCAAGTAGGCAAAGGACCCTGGGCATCTGAAGTATCTGGAATTGTCAAGATAGGTCAGACAATGACTATGGTACTAGCTATTAAAGATGACGAAAACAAATTTGATATGTTAGTAAGGAATTGCGTTGCTCATGATGGTAAGAGAGCCCCAATACAACTTGTTGACCAATATGGTTGTGTAGTTAGACCAAAAATTATGAGCAAATTCCAGAAAATTAAGAATTTTGGTCCTTCAGCATCAGTAGTATCATTCGCGTACTTCCAAGCATTTAAATTCCCAGATTCCATGAACGTCCACTTCCAATGTGTGATACAAGTATGTAGATATAACTGCCCAGAACCCAAATGTGGTGGCCATGGTTTAGGTCTAACAAGTGAGTATGGTGCTCCACCGATATCAAACGCACTAGGAAGTGGCGATTTTGGAGGTCATGGTAGCCTTGGTGGAGAATATGGTCCACCTCCATCCAATGAATACGGTTTGCCTCCTGCATTTCCTGACCCTAGACATCCATCTGGACCAACAGGTGCCTATTCTGAACAAAATGCTGACGTAGTACCTGCTCCTCAAGCTCAAACTTCCTCTTCCTCTACGTCTAATCCTCCTAATCTGTCTTCTCCTGCTCCTCAAGTATCAGCACAAAGTAGTAACGAAATACATTTACCTCCTCCACCGCCACCAGGTCATCTTGGTATTTACAATACCGTTAAGAGGAAGAGCAATATTGCGGAAGAATTTGAAGGCAATTTAGCTACCCTAGGTGGAAGACCCAGGTCAGTAGAGAATCTTCCAGCTGAACTGCAAGGAGTTAGAAGACGACGTAGTCCAGAAGTGATGACAGTTGTAGTTAGTCACGTCTACAAACGTGAGGCTCAAGAAATGACTGATGTGAATACTAGTCGAATAATTCAAGTAGTAGCACCAGGAGATGTTAATTTCGCCCTAAACTCTGCTCAAAACAACGAAACGGTGGTCATACAGTCAGCTTCGTCACAAGATCCTGAAACGATTTGTATGTCTGTTCCAAGTTTCGTAGCCGGATTAGTAATGCTCCTATTGGTTCTTATAGTGGCAAGTTTGGTAGCAGCATTTTTGTTTGTTCGAGTGCGGGCTATCGATAGAAAAGGAATCGCTCAAACATTCGTCGGGTCACGTGGATACGATAACGCCGAATTCGTAAAAGTGGCAAACTGACTATGAAAATATTCATGATAGGTACATTCTAAAAGTCCCAAAGATGTTCAGGTTTAGCAAGTGATTGACGCGAGTGATCAAAGTAGTCGCAGGGCGACATATCCTACCATTTCCTTCATGCAATCCTAGTCCTTTTAACACTCGCCTGCTAATTTGCTTGTGATAACCTACTTCAATTCTGTATTCAAGACCGCAGCATACCATAAATCATCCCACAGATATAACAAGCATCCTATTTATAGATTTGCTCAATAATTCACAACTTTTGGGTGTCTTTTTGATCTTTTATTGAAAAATGGATATTCCCTTTAATGTCCTCAAATTATTCAAGATTGTTAGTTATTATTTGAATACTACTACAAACTTTTGACGAATATTAATTTGCTAACAAATTGATCTCAATATACAATTTTCAAATACAATTAATCCAAACATGGTTGACATTGCAACGTTGATATTTCTTTATTTGGCATTGTGTCACGATTTTCTAAATAATGTTATTTAAATGGTCAAGACTACGTTTGGTATATATACCTAATTACATCTAATCAGTTATTTCTCATTATTAAAATAAAAAGTGGCATCAATAGCACTACGTTTAAGACAACCCTAAAGAGGTTTGGTCGTAAACATGTATAAATGTAGACATTCAAACACTAACTGTGCTATTTGGAAATTAAGAATATTAGAGCTATGTAATGGGTCTTAGATTTCAGTTTTGAAACGAGTTAACATGAGTATTTTCCTCTGTAGCTCTCTTCACCCCGCCATTCTATTACTATTAACTCACCTCATCTTTGTCAAATCATTTGTGCTAGCAAAGGCATTATGCTCTATTCTGCCCTTACTAGCATGACCTAACCCTAGTTGTAAGTAAGTTATTTATATTATTTAGGTGTTATTTATAAAAAAAATTAAGTGTAACCTATGTACTACTCGAGAGTATGTTTGTAAGATATTTGAAGAATATTGAATATTTATTTTTATGGACTGAGTAAAACTCTTATGCTTGATTTAGAGTCGAATTATTGAAACGTTTTGTTTTAACCTTGTTTTTAGGTACATTATGAGGTTCTGTTTACCTTTTTATGTTGACTGATACGGCGACTACAAATAAATCTACTTATATGTTATTATATTTTATTAAGGCGACTCTAAATTATGGATAATACTAGAGTATATTTATCATCTGTCTATATAAAATTAAGATCATACAAGGGCAGATCCTAGTCTCATAATTAGAATATAGTTCACATGTCAATAAGGCTTTACAAAAATACTCAAGATATAAAATACAAATACCGTTTATTGTTTCTACATTATTTCTTGTGCGTTTTTTTGTTTTGTTTGATTTATTTCGTTTTGAAAACACATTTGTAATCTCTCTTTTGATTAAATTGTTGTCATTCTAATTTTGATCATCCGAAAGATTAATATTTTATAAATAAAAGATTTAAATTACATTTGTATCACTTTACCATGCACAGAAAATCCAATCAAATCTTACTTTGCTCTATGAGGTAAGAGATTTTTGATTCGTTTGTCTCGTCTTATCACGTACAAAATTATAAATAAATTACTGCGTATATTTGTACCAAAATATCAATTTATGCACTTTCTAAAATATAGCATTTGTGATTAGTTATAAAAGACTTGTGATGGCTAATACTGCAATAGAATTAATTAGGCTTCAAATATTTGTTTTTATTCTGGCCTAGAACCAGATCAATTCCAATTTATTTAAACGGAAACCTATAAGCAAATATTTTTTCATAAAATTTAACCATAAATTAACCACTCATAATTCAAATAAATTGGAACCCCCAAATTCCAATTTATTTAAACAAAAATCCTAGAAGCACATGGGATTTGTGTAGCATAGAAACCCATGAAATATGGCTATAAACGAAATTTTTTGGTAGATTATTATGTATAAAAAGGAAACTTGAAAAATTTGCAGTTTTTGAAATTTACTACGTTTCTACTTCTACATCATCGTATCGTTTTGATTTCTTAATGAAGTACAAATATTGCCATATTTGTTGCTTAAGGCGAGAGTTTAATTGCATTTAATTTTAATTCCAAAAGAATATAGAAACGATAAAAGATAGAAACCTTAGATTTGGTAGACATTTTTTAAATAAATCAGAGCAGTGGCTGACGCTAATATATATAATCCAACTTTAAAAACAATAAAAAGTTTTAACAATTACAAAAATCAAAATCAAAGGAAAAAATCTAATAGTCTATTATAAACCAATTACAATCACGTTAAAACCAATTTTTAAATCGATGTAATGACAAATAAATTGGAAAACAAAAAAAAGCAGAAATTTATAATATACGTGGCAATACCTTTTTCTACCTTCTTTACCGATAATTTTAGTTCACGCATTCGTTGATAGATCGAAGAGCAAGCGAATCGACTTATCTTCAGCAGGGATTTCACTTATTTAGTCAAAATATAGTTTTAATTATAGTTTATGAACCAAGGGCAAATGCTGTTCGTTGGCTTTTCTTGACCTTCCTTGGCGTGGTCTGTACGCAGCTCTATAAAATAACTACCTATAGCCAAGTAAACTTCTAAAGAAAAAATGTTGGTGAGTACTGCTGCAGTGGTAGATCGGTAGAGATACGTTGTAAATGTATTTCAAATAAAGATTACGACCAACTCTATGACAAACCTTTTTATTTTTTATTGGTCACTTTTTTTGTATATATATATACATACACATAAGTTAACAACATACATAATTACTAACCACAAAATAAACAGACTTAACAGTATCACATAAGATATTCTAATAAAAAACATGTACCTGTAGGTTAAATCTGTGGGGTTTCTCTGGAGCCACTTTTCTAAAAATTGTTTTAGTTGAAACAACTTATAAAGTTTCGATTATTGTTTTTTATATTCAGAAAAAATTAAATGAAATTTTGGGAAAATGGTTACAGCGGAACACAGATTTAACTTAACACGCACGTAGGTATTTTTTATTTTAATATTTAATGACAATGTGAACATAATACAATTTTGAATATAGGACTACGACAAACTAGAAAAAAAGAATAATATTATAATAAAATTATATGCTCATAATAAAAAAGAAAGAAAAAAGAAAAAGAATAAAAAATAAGAAAAAAAAACAAAATAATTACACCGAGACTTGAATCCACGACCTCTTGTATGAGAAGTCATCGCCTTATCAACAAACCATACTCACTGGATGCTTTTATTTGCGAGACGGTAATAATAACGATGAGCAAGCAAAAGTCGAACGAGTTAATTTTAATCACACTTATTTTCTGCAGAAACTACAAAATGAATATCTAACCACATATGTCTACTACGGATATAATGTTATGTCTCTTCTAGAATGTATATTAAATTCACCAATTGTTTAGTAGTCCGCTAACTAACACCCACACATATATTATTATAAGCACAAACTACAGAACCAAAAAGTAGGCCATTGCATTCTACTGAATGAATATACTTTCTTATTCATTATATTCAACGTTTTAAGGAACATCGTCGATGCACTCTGATACTGCCGCAACACTGATCTTCATTGGGACCTTAAAGTCACCAACAACGACTATTCCAACATGAAAACTTTGAGGTTATTCAGCTCCTTAACAATACGTATAGTAAGAAGTGTAACGTTTAAATTCGACGTTAGGACTCTCTGTTTAAATTTATAAGCTAAAATAAACAGTTTAAACGGGTCAAACATAATTATATTATTCGACTTCTTCTATTAGAGAATACTAAAAGTTTAAAATATTAGCACATCATTTATAAATTATAGAAATCTGAAAACGATAATAGTGAGATACATTATTGTAAAATGGTATCACACTTAAGGAGGTCCTTTCGCCACCAATGTTAAATAAAAAATATTAGATTATGACTAAAATTAATTTTTTTCTAATAGTAGATGTCCTTATTTATCTAATAGTGAACTTTTAACTATACCTTACCGTGCAAATTTTTGAGAATTTTTTTTTTAATGTGTGCGTTTGTACAGTGTCTTATGAGAAAGTAAGACTTCAACAACAATTTTCGAATTATAATTAATTTTACTATTATTTATTGATTAGATGGAGTAGAAAAAAACTAAAAATAAGGTTTTTGAAATATTTAGGTTTTGTTTTTTACAATAAAATATATAGGTTACCGTGGAATTTATTGAGAAATTATTATTAAAAAATCACAAAAAAATTTCAACTAGGTTACTTGAAATTTTTTTGTGATTTTTTAATATTAATTTCTCAATAAGTTCCACGGTTTACTATATATATTTTATTGTATAAAACAAAATCTAAATATTTAAAAAACCTTATTTTTAGTTTTTTTCTACTCCATCTAATCAATAAATAATAGTATAATTCGAGAATTGTTGTGGAGGACTTACTTTCTCGTGAGGCACTGTACAAATACTCACATTTAAAAAAAAAAATCTAAAAAATTTGCAAGGTAAGGTATAGTTAAAAGTTCAGTATTAGATAAATAAGGACTTCAACTATTAGAAAAAAATTTATTTTAGTCATAATCTAATAACTTTTTTTTAACATTTGAGGCGAGAGGTGTGGCGAAAGGACCTCCTTAATTCTCCATATGACCTGTTCTATGTAGACATGGGTAACGCAGCGCTGCGTTGCGTTATTGCGTTAACGCAGTTGTATGCGTTACTAGCGTTGATACACCAGCTGTTACTGTATCAGCGCAACGCAATTTTCGATACTGGGCTGGAACTCTGTGTCATGTAGAATTCTACTTATCGCTTTCTACAATAGATTCTTTTGTGGCACTCTGTGTAACATAGCGGAAAACCAACGAGTATATACTTACTACAGGATAACTAGTTTCATAAGAAACCACATTGCGATATTTCCCGTTCGGTTGATAACGTATTTATCACAAAAGAAAGTAATCGATTCCATTGTAGAAAGCGATAAGTAGAATTCTACATGACACAGAGTTCCAGCCCTGCGTCGAAAGGATCGCGAGTTGTTGGTGCGCCATGCGCCAGGCACTGATTCCGTTTTCCGTGACGAGTTGAGAATTTTAATTTACGTAATTGATGCAACTCGTAATGCAGATTACCCAAAATCTATCAAGTAATTATGTTCTTTGCAACATGTCACATCATTTGTAGGATTGTAGGTCGAATTTTATGAATTTTAATCTTGTACACTGTCAATTTTTAGTTTTTCCCAATTTGATTGGCTACTAGTATACAAAAATTATATCTTTTTTATATAAATTGGAATTTTTGTATTTTTTGTAAAATCCGAACACAATGAAATAAAAAAATGAGTGCATTACACTGTTATATTTTCGTTTATTTTTAAACATATAATAAAAAAAAAATTAGTTAAATTCCCAATTGCGTATTTGCCTTGAACACGGTTTGACCCTTATAAAAGGACAGCCCGCGCTGAATAACACCGGTATCATGCGATAGGTACACCGAGGTGCATCGACTTCATTCGGCGCAGGCAGTGGTGTGACGCAATAACGCAATTGCGTTAACGCAATGAGTTGGCGCAATAGAGTGCGCCGGAGTTAGTGTATCAACGCAAAGAATTTTAGTGCGTTACCCATGTCTAGTTCTATGTGTATTTCACAGCACACTTCAAAGTATTTTTGTGTTGGCTATTGTCCTACCTCTATCGCTAATGAAGGACTGATTTTACACAGTTGAGTCAATGGCTGTGTTCATCGTCGTCAAACATGTTTTAAAAGCAAAGAAACACGTTTCATAAGCGATTGGCATGACTCTAAACGATCATTTTTGTTTACGATTTGTTTTCTCAACCTCAAACCTGTCAAAAAAATTGAATGACGTTTGGTTGGCACACAGAAGGTTACGTTAATTGTTTCCCTTCCTAGTATTTCTTAATAAATTTTGAGTTGAATTGATTTGAGTGAATTAGAGTTTATATAGCACCCTTCTGAAAGTGGTTTTGACAATTTTACGGCGAAAAAACCTACAACTTGTATTATTTTGGGTTAAAGAGTCATGTTTAATTTTTTTTTATTACTTCCATGGATCTTGAATTACACATACTGACTAATCAAAGAGTTTGTAACAGTCATTTTATTACAGGTAAAATACAATTTTTTTGACACACAAATAAAAATCTACTGTAACTAGATCATACTTCAAAGAGCAGAATGAGAAAGTTATTTATTGTGTTTATTCAACTGTCTGGTCTGCACCGAAAAATTAAGTAAAGGAACTCATGATACTAATAACGTACATCTCAAAAAGTGATCTTTTTACATGTAACAAGGATAAACAAAAGTGTATAATAATAATAATAATAGAGACATCAAGTATGACTTTCTTATTTTTAGGGAAACTGCGAGTTTCTTCGAAGTTAAACTGGACTCCAGTCCAGAACAAGAGGAATGTCTCAAACCAGTTCAAAATTAAAGTGTGATATTGACAGAAAAAATTGAGTTGAAAAAAGGAGAAAAAGATAAAAATGAAAATAAACCTAAAGCAACTTTTTATTTTTGAGTCATACCTAACATCATACGTCCCGCTTTAGGCGAGACAAACCCACTTTTAAGTTATGTGTACCATTGTCCCCAAAGAATGCAAGAATGTCCCGCTTTAAAAGAAAACGTGATCTGATGCAAAGTATTTTATTAAAAAAGAGTGTTATCTCATATGAATATGGACTAGTGAAATAACTTACTTAATTTGAAGTATCAGTATTGAAAGCCAGACGTAACATGAACAAGTTACGTCAACAGTTCCATTCCTATTTAAAAACTAAAAT